AACGTCAACTCCGCCTCCACCCCTCATACGGTTCCTCCTCCATCCTCTTAAACTTGAACTAACGCTCTCACCACCAGTGCTCTGGATATCTGTCTGCCAAGCCACGAGTGTCAACGTCGCCCACGAGATGAATGTCCACACCTGCATTATAGCCGGGTTTGAGTCCTTCCAGTATCCGAATGCCCCCAAGTCGGACGAGAGCAATGAGGGGTACACAGCATCTGAAGACCAAGGTGAGATCGCTTGGGACCGTCTCGTCGATTCTGCAGCTCACTGGTTCGGATGACAGGTTATTACGACACTCCTCAGGATATAGACCAAGACTTCCTCGCTAACCACCTGCGCTCACCGACCACGTTCGTCGCTACTCATAGCATGCTCGCCGACGTGGCGAAGATCATGGACGCTGTCACTGACAATGCGATGAGGCGCGAAGCTGCCGCTTCTCTCTTGAACGCCATAAGCAAGACATTGCACGGTTCGTCTGCGGCTCCTTCGATCTATTTGCAGTCGGTGCCTGATGCGGCCTCAGGGAGTCTCAGTCCGAGTACAAGGGAGAAGCACAGGAAACGATCTCGTGTTCCATTCGGCAAGCTAGGACACCTGACATTCGTTGTCAACTATTGCGAGAAGGAGGAACGGGACGCTCCGGAATTGGTGGGTGTGTACAATGCGGACGACTTGCGGGGCCAAGACGACGTCGACGGCATGCACCGTCGCATTCCGTACCACCGTATCGAAGCTCTCGTCGAGGTCAAGCCCGATCGAAGAAGGGGTGGCCATCGCCAGACGGTATCGTGCGCTCATCGCCACCATGCAGCTCGTCCCGACCGGCCGGCCATATACTGCCTCGTCATCGAACCTGGGTGGTATCAAGTCATATTCTCCGACCCTACTGGGGTGGTTGTGTCCCCACGGAACGAGTGGACCGACCTGCGCCTTCTGGCCGCCTACATCTACTCTCACTACTACCCTCCTCGCGACCGACATCTTTGGGACGACAGCGTTTCTTGGATCTCTGGTGAGACTCCCCATCAGCCACCGACATGGATGGTTCGATGTCATGGGAGGTCGTACACGCACGGCAGACTGCTTTTCGCAGGGTATCCATGGGGCCGTCGGACGACGGTGTTCCAAGTAACAGACCGTCAAGGGAGCGAGATGATCATTAAGGACACCTATCGACGCCGGGTTCGTCGTTGCAAGGAGCAAGGTATCTTGGTGCATATTCATGAGGACGGGGACCTGCCTGGAGTTGTGCGTCTGACATGGGCGGGACCAGTGAGGACGGGCAACAAGATGCTGACATACGGGGCGAGAGGCGACGAGGAGGCGCGAACGAAGGAGCGGATGGTACTGCTTGATTCGGGCTGTAGTCTCGTTCGTGCAAAGACTGTCAACGACCTCCTGGAGGCGATCTACGATGTTCTGGAAGGTGCGCTTGTGTTTGAGAGATGTCGCGGCGACTAGGCGCGTAGACTCGGGTCGACGTTCGGCGACAACCCCGTAGGCGAGCGGCAAGGAGCCGAAAGGGGAAAGAGAGAGGGAGAGGGATAAACGTGACAGAAAGCTCGACGAGGGCAGAGCGGAGGTCGGCACGAAGGCACGAGACCTACGAAAGCTAGTCTTCACGCAGGCAGCGACAGACTAGTCCCAATGACCAAGTTATACATTAGCAATCGAAGAGAGGTACAACGCTATGGTCACTCACCTAGTCCCAATGACCAAGAGGTCGAGATGGGGACTAGGGAGCGCCTAGGTGGGTCCTTATATACTAGAGGGGCTGCTTAGCAACCAAGGACACGGCGCGAGAGCGAGGCAGTGAAGATGACAAAGGGAGAACAAAGGGCGGGAAGGAAAAGGCAAAGGCATGGCGATCACGGAAACGTAGCATGCGGGTGTGGGAACGTATCTGCAGTGTCCAAACTGGGATGGGCTAAGAAAGGAAATGGTCCGAAAATGGAAGGTGGGCGTC